ATTCTTATTACTTATCAGCCTAGGCAGTCAGACTCTTTGCCACTACATTGCCCTTCTCTGTGACATCTGTGAACAAGGACAAGTCTCCCTGAACACCAAGAAGAGCTTTGGCTTGGATGGGTGCAAAGGTGCTCAGGCCAGTTATCAGCACGTTCTGTATTTACAACATGCCACTTTGCCAGCTTCCCGAACAGCATCATTTCTCCCCTAGCCACCAGATGTCGCTTTGACTCCAGTGGAAGCAAAGTCAGCTGTGTCTTCAACCAAAACTTGCCAAGTCTGAATTCCATCCAATTTAACAAATATTTATTTAAAACCTAAACTTTATACTGAGTACTGTAAAATATTTGTCAGGAAAGTGATGATACATTTTTTGCATTAAAAAAAAATAGAAAAATAGGTCATGACTTTCCTGATGACCTAATATTTTAAAAGAGAATGTAAGTGAGACTTCTTAACATCAGATACTTAAGGAGAACAGACACCAAAAAAGTGAAAAGTTACGCAAGTCACTGCAAAAGTTATCAAAGGATACACTGTAGAAACTAGTGTATACAGACTTATCAGAGGAGGGGCTGACTGAAACCTTAAAGGATAAATAAGATAGGTTTGGGTCTCTAAGAAGGAAATGGCAAGGCATTCCAGAAAAGAACATGAACAAAAAGTCACAAAAGAAAAAGTTATAGCAAGGAGGGATCAAGGGGTACATGTGAGGATGAAGGCCCAAGGTGCCAGGTTGGTTTCGAACTTTTCTCTCCCTTCTCTGATAACCTGATCAGTTGTTTCTCCCTGTTCCAAACACTCTTCCTAGTCTAATCAGCCAAGTCTTATCTGTATCCCTTGAATAAGTCTTACCAGCCTTAAAAGACTCATAGAGATGAAAAGCTTCAGAAGCCACTGGGACACCTTCCCAACCACCATAGAAACCACCTCTGTAACCAAAGGGGGGAAGGCTTAGAGAATGTCAGCAGGATTTGTAGAGCGGCAATACAAACACCATTCTTACCTATAAAGAATCTCCTCTTTCACTTATACAAATGCCACCACTAACCCTCCAGATTCATCTTTGATTCTTCTCTACTTAGATGAACTATCAACGTCAGCTGATTGGCCCATTACAGGCATCTTTCTGATTTGTTCCTTTTTGTTTCGTCCTTGTGCCTGGATTCCCAAAACTGCCTCCTAGCTGATCTTCTAGGCTTCCTGTTGTCCTTTCAAGTTGTTCCACATTTAATGTAAGATTAATTTTCTTAGCACATTTTTCACACTGTTTCAAGTTACTCATTAGCACAAATGACTGATAATTCCTAACTGTCCAGTGTATCAAATCTGAACTTATCTCCACACACACGCTGTACTGAATCACAAACTCCACATTGCCATTCACTAACAATGGAGAATTTCGGCCCACTATCTTCTAGCTATTTTAAGCCACTTGACTTCTATAAGCAAAGCCCGTATCTCTAACAATTTGCTGCTATTCTTATTACTTATCAGCCTAGGCAGTCAGACTCTTTGCCACTACATTGCCCTTCTCTGTGACATCTGTGAACAAGGACAAGTCTCCCTGAACACCAAGAAGAGCTTTGGCTTGGATGGGTGCAAAGGTGCTCAGGCCAGTTATCAGCACGTTCTGTATTTACAACATGCCACTTTGCCAGCTTCCCGAACAGCATCATTTCTCCCCTAGCCACCAGATGTCGCTTTGACTCCAGTGGAAGCAAAGTCAGCTGTGTCTTCAACCAAAACTTGCCAAGTCTGAATTCCATCCAATTTAACAAATATTTATTTAAAACCTAAACTTTATACTGAGTACTGTAAAATATTTGTCAGGAAAGTGATGATACATTTTTTGCATTAAAAAAAAAAACATAGAAAAATAGGTCATGACTTTCCTGATGACCTAATATTTTAAAAGAGAATGTAAGTGAGACTTCTTAACATCAGATACTTAAGGAGAACAGACACCAAAAAAGTGAAAAGTTACGCAAGTCACTGCAAAAGTTATCAAAGGATACACTGTAGAAACTAGTGTATACAGACTTATCAGAGGAGGGGCTGACTGAAACCTTAAAGGATAAATAAGATAGGTTTGGGTCTCTAAGAAGAAAATGGCAAGGCATTCCAGAAAAGAACATGAACAAAAAGTCACAAAAGAAAAAGTTATAGCAAGGAGGGATCAAGGGGTACATGTGAGGATGAAGGCCCAAGGTGCCAGGTTGGTTTCGAACTTTTCTCTCCCTTCTCTGATAACCTGATCAGTTGTTTCTCCCTGTTCCAAACACTCTTCCTAGTCTAATCAGCCAAGTCTTATCTGTATCCCTTGAATAAGTCTTACCAGCCTTAAAAGACTCATAGAGATGAAAAGCTTAAGAAGCCACTGGGACACCTTCCCAACCACCATAGAAACCACCTCTGTAACCAAAGGGGGGAAGGCTTAGAGAATGTCAGCAGGATTTGTAGAGCGGCAATACAAACACCATTCTTACCTATAAAGAATCTCCTCTTTCACTTATACAAATGCCACCACTAACCCTCCAGATTCATCTTTGATTCTTCTCTACTTAGATGAACTATCAACGTCAGCTGATTGGCCCATTACAGGCATCTTTCTGATTTGTTCCTTTTTGTTTCGTCCTTGTGCCTGGATTCCCAAAACTGCCTCCTAGCTGATCTTCTAGGCTTCCTGTTGTCCTTTCAAGTTGTTCCACATTTAATGTAAGATTAATTTTCTTAGCACATTTTTCACACTGTTTCAAGTTACTCATTAGCACAAATGACTGATAATTCCTAACTGTCCAGTGTATCAAATCTGAACTTATCTCCACACACATGCTGTATTGAATCACAAACTCCACATTGCCATTCACTAACAATGGAGAATTTCGGCCCACTATCTTCTAGCTATTTTAAGCCACTTGACTTCTATAAGCAAAGCCCGTATCTCTAACAATCTTCATGACTCCTGTCTCTACAGTTAGGCATACCACATTGAGATGAGGAATTCTAGAAAGTGTCAGCTTTCCAAGGAGTGTAGGAGTTTGCATTTCTAGAGCTTCCAAACTTCCACCGCTGTTGCCTAGCTCTTTGTGACTTTGCCTCACCATTCATTACTTCCTTATGTACAACCTTTTCCTCTTTCTCAGATATTTATTTTTAATTGTTTTGTCTTCTGCCCTTTGTACATACTTCGATTCCTTTTACTCTTTCAAACTTTTAACAACTTGCTTTATTATCCTTATTCTTGACTATAATCAATCAACTATGCCAAATATCCCCTCGGTGTTTTTCATATACTTTCAACTATGCCATTGGCAAATCTGAGGTATAAGCATAGGAGAAACAAAAATGGAAAAGAAAGGAAGAAACAAAAGAAATTGTTAGAAGAGGATTTACATTATGTCAGATACTTTTTTTTTACATTTTTTAAATTTTATTTTATACATTTAATCACATTATTTAGCTTACAAAATGAATATTTCAACAGGTGAACATTTCCCCCTAGTCCAGTTGATAAAACTATAAAATATCTTCAACAGATAATACCACTTTTCCTTGTCCCATTAATGCTTTGCCTCCCTATTTTTCTTCTAAATGTCTTTCCTCAGACCCTACTCTTTCACACACACTATATCTGGTATTTACATCTATGTACTGTGTTTTATATCCTTTAGTCAATCGGTTTCAGTCATAGAGTGCAGACACACGGTTTATATTAAGTGGGGACATACAATGCCTCTCCTTCAAAGCCTGGCTTGCTTCACTCAGCAGTACATTATACCAGATACTTCCTATATGTTACCTCTAGTCCTCCAAGCCACCTTAAAGACACATACTACTATCCTCGTTTTTTATATTTTTTAATAATTATTATTTTTAGAGAGATTTCATCTATAGGTCATGTGCGCTTGTCAGAGACATAGAGACAGAGAGACAGAAAGCAATAAATCACTCCCTGGGGTGATGGCTACACCACAATCCCTTCTCCTCCATTCTCCTCTCAGGATTTTGGGCATGCACGCACAGGCACACGTGTCCAACATGAATGTCAAGCCTCTGGGTCTGGGATTCAAATGGCGGTCAGGCAATGTGGGAGTCCAGGGATGTAACCATTATGCCATCTGATGATCCTTTTTTATATATATTATTTTTAAAAATCAAATTTAGAGAGTCACTGTGGAGATACTTCTGCCTCAGCCTTTCAGTTGGACTACATATCACTAGACCCAGCCCTTTTTCAGGCAAGGTCTCACCATGTTGCCCAGGCCAGCCTTGAGGTAGCTGCAATCCTCCTGTCCCAGCCTCCTGAGTCACTGGGATTGCAGGTGCACGCCACTGTGTTCGACCCTTAGGTTAGACTGAAATCCAAACCCAGTCCTTCTACGTGGTCCTAGCCTGGGGAGCACAGCATCTTATCAGCGCAGGCCACTGCAGCTGGGCCTATTGTCATCTTTAAAATGATGAGACAAGAGTGTTGAGTGACTTGCCTGAAGCTACGCATGTAAGAGTTAGACCCACGTGCATTAGGCTCACCCCCCTGCCACTAGAGTATGTTACCAAGATTGTTGTGTCTAGCAGGTTGTCAATATTTATTTTGAGCTCTATACTTTCCTCATGTCTGCCCCACCACTACCCTCTGTCTTCCTGTTTTCCTAGGTACCTCTAATTTCCATTCTGTTCCTTCTTAACTGCCCATTAGTCTTTTCTGTTTTCTCACAAACTCTAGTGACCGTCCCATCCGATGTCTCTCACCCCTTTTCCCGCCTTTTCCCCCCAAGGCTCCAAAGCGCGAGGACCTCATTGTCCTCGTCCCCCATCCTCCAACCAACCCACAAAAACAGCCTCGTTACCATGACGACCGAGCTACTCAAAGCCGAAGTCAAGGACCTGGTTGCCATGGTTTCCGCTTCTCCGCCTCCAGCCTCGCCCGCGCGCCCTGCAGCGTTGACGCCTGCGCAGTTAGCAGCACGGCGGAACTCCGAGCAGTGGCGGGGCGGGACGGGGCGGGGCTTCAGCCGAGTGGGAGGGAAGGAAGAGAAAGGATAAGAAAGGGAGTGGAGCTGGCGCCTACGGTGGCCGAAGAGGGACGCGCCGAGCCGGAGGCTGCAGGATGGTAGGCTGTGGGAAGAGGGAGGGGAGGGGAGGGGGAACCAAGGGGCGTGGGCTGCACCTGCGGGGGTCCTTGGGGGCCGCCCTCGGTGTGAGCTGCATTCTCTTCTCGCGTCCTCAGAGGCCCCACTTAGCTGGGCGAGTGGGCGAGCCAGCCTCGGAAGGAAGAGCTGGAAGTGGCATTCGGGAGAGGGGCGGAGAGGGGGCGCATTGTGGGCGAGAGGGGGCTGCGGGACGGTCCCGAGCCGGAAGGAGCGCTCGGGTCTCGGTAGTAGGTTACCTCGACCACTGCCGCAGGGAAGCTGCCCGAGGGAGAGGGGCCCGGGAGTCTGTTCGCGGAAGGAGGGAGCGGGGGGTCGCCGGTCACCGAGACCTTCCTTCCTGTGCGGCCCAAACTGGAGTGGGGGTCCGCGGCAGTGCGGGTTGTGGAAGCGGTAGTTTCCGGGTCCTAGGAGTGAACGTCTTGCCTCGGTTCGTGGCCATGCTCCTCGCATAGAGGCTGGACTGAGGTGGGGAAACCGCGTGGGCTCAAGGTTTTGCTCTCCGAGATCCAGGCTCTGGGATCCCCCACTCTGGTGCTCTTCGCTCTCAGCCCCTCACTCCATTTGCTTTCCGGAACCCAGGCCTTCCGTCTTCCTGGCGCTCCCAACCTCCTTATCTTAGCGACACAGCACTCCCTTGAGCCCCTCTGTTCCCCTCCTTCACCACCCAAAACACCCAGCTCTCTTGAATCCGGATTTTTAGCCCACTAAACTAGTACTGTTGCACATACCCAGAGATTCAGCCCTGGTAATGCCCTCTCCAGGATCGTTGGTGGCTGGGATCCCTAAACTGGGAAGCTGGGTGCCCCAGGGTAGTGAGGGCTCTGCACTCCATCCAACTCTGCCAGCTCAGCTCGTACTTTGTTCCACAAATATCCGCGCGAAGGGAACCACCCAGCATGACCTTGCACCAACCGAGTGACTGAAAGTGGGACTGCTCACTTGGTGTCTGAAGGGGAGTGGGCTTTTAGCACCCTGAAAGGAAGGAAAGTTAATATCAGAACTTTGGGGTCAGCCTGTGGTGAAGTGGATAAGGCAGTAGGATCCCACTTGGGCGACTGTGCAGTTCCAGCCCTGGTCCAGTGGTTTAAAAATCACTCTGGGTGTGTGTGCGTGCATGCCCAAAATCCAGAGAGGAGAATGGAGAAGAGGGATTGTGATGTCCACATTGCCCCCCACCAACCCCACCTCCTGGCTGGGGTGGCTTTCTCATTTTCCTTTTCTCTCTTACATGTGCATGCGCTGTAGCAAATCTGAAACAAAACTCAAAATCAGGAGCCAAATGCAGGGATGGCTGAGGAGAGAGGAGGGTGTAATTTGGGTAACCCCATACCATGTGTGTTATTGGATATACTTAATTTGGAAAAGGTTACCCCTGCGCGTAGGACTGGCACTGGGGGGAGGGAGGCGATGTGTTTGGGACATCAGCAAGGGCTTATGGCTAGGATGGGATAGAGAATTGAGGTAGCTTCTGGAGGGACAGATTCAGTATGGCAGTGGATAAAGGAGCATGGGAGAAAACAGGCATCTCTTTGGCAACAGCTGTGGGCTGTTTGTTACTTACCTTTGGGAAACAGGATTAGGAACACCTGATGTGATAAAGCCTCCCTTGTGCCAGGCACTACTGCATATAGCAACTCATCTAATCCCTCCTCAGGACTCTCTAAGGTGGGTACTTTTCTTACCTCCATCTTATAGAGAAGGAAACAGACCCTGAGATATAAAGCAATTTGCCCAAGATTATACATAACTAGTAGAGCCAGAATTTGAACACACATGACAGACTCACAAGCTCTACCATTTCTTAGGAAGGAGGGGCACCTCCTAGTGGGAACATTCGAAGTGAGAGCAAAGGGCTTGACTTTTGAAGAAGGTAGGAGCTGGGGATAAAGAGTTAGAAGCATCTAGGGCTGTGTGTTTACGGGGGAAAGAAGCTTAAAGAAGCAGTTCTCTGACGGGGTCATTCTGTACCCACTCCTTCTAGATGCGATTCATGCTGCTATTCAGCCGGCAGGGAAAGCTGCGGCTGCAAAAATGGTACCTGGCCACATCAGACAAGGAACGGAAGAAGATGGTTCGGGAGCTCATGCAGGTGGTTCTGGCTCGCAAGCCCAAGATGTGCAGCTTCCTGGAGTGGAGAGACCTCAAAGTAGTCTACAAAAGGTGATTCCCTGGGACCAGCAGTTAGCACAATGGCTATGTCACTAGACTCCCATGTAGTCAACCGCAGTTCGAGTCCCGGACCTGGTGGCTTAAACTCACGCCATGTGCGTGTGTATGTGTGTGCCCAAGATCCCGAGAGGAGAATGGAAGAGAAGTGGAGAATGGAGGAGAAGTGATTGCGGCGTGGCCATTACCTTGGGAGGGGTGATTTCTCATTTTCTGTCTTTCTGGGGAGTGTGTGCGCCCTATGGCAAAAAGCTCTCCCCCCAAAAAAGGTGATCCCCACTTATGTCCAGACCTGTCTGGGTCCTGCTGATTTGAGTTTGGCACTGGGTTACAATGACTAAGAAATAATGGGTCCTTAGGTCAGGAGGAGCTGAGAGCTGAGGACAGTGGGACAGTGAGGCACACCAGCCTCATTTACTTTCCAAACTCCCCTTGGAGAAATTCTTCTTTCCCCCTTGACTTAACTCAAGCCTGACCCCTGTCTTGCTCACATACTGCTGTCCCAATAGGCCCAGTCTTGTCTACTACACGCTGTTTGCGGTCTCATTCACCAGTCAGAGATCCCGCCCCATTTTCTGCAATGTGTGTGTGTACATATACACACTCTTTCTCTGAGCAGGTGAATTAGTTGGCTTTGGTTTTTGCTGAGTCAAACTGAGTAGGTCAGAGGGCAAGAAGGAACAAGCACATGTCTGCTGGCTTATGAGCAAGCACTAAGAGGCACAGTGCGTTACCCTAGCATCCCCTGGGGCCTCCTCATGTCCATTCTGTGCACAGACCCTGGGGTGGTGGGAGGTTTGAGTCCTGAATGCCCAGGTTCTGCACAAGTGCCCAGCTGCCCTCCTGCACCCCTCTCCACAGATACGCCAGCCTCTACTTCTGCTGCGCCATCGAGGGCCAAGACAATGAGCTCATCACGCTGGAGCTGATCCACCGATATGTGGAACTCCTGGACAAATACTTTGGCAGCGTAAGTCTCTCCGCCCACCCCAGTTTCCATACCCAGCCCTCTTTCCACTTAACTTTGAGGCCCTTCTCTGTGCTGGAAGTCTCTGGGGAGAGGCAAAGTTAGAGCAATGAGAACAGTAATTAATCTCCCCTTTTAAGCTTTAAGCCTATTAGCTATATCCCTTAATCAACCCCCCGGGGGGGGGGTAGAATCTGGCACTTAATCTTCACATAGAGCTCAGCTTGGACTTCTCACACAAGGGTAAGACCAAGTTTTGATTTTATCGGTACTCTTTTTATTTTATTGCTTTTCTTTCTTTTTTTTTTTTTTTTAGATTTTTGCTGTGGGATGCATGTGCTTGCCTGAGAGAGGCAGAGAGAGGGAAAGTGAGAAATTACCCCACAGCAGATGTTGTTGGACTCCCATATAGTCTACTATGGTTCGCGTCCCAGTCCCGGTGGCTTAAACTCATGCAGGGCATGTGTGAACATGTTCCCAAGATCCCTGGAGGAAAATGGAGGAGAGGGGATTGCAGCATAACTATCCCTTCTGGGGGCAGGGTAATTTCTTGCTCTCTGTCTCTCTGTCTTTTTGGAGAGTGCACGCACCCTTTAGCAAAAAACCTCTCAAAAAAAAAAAAGGAAAAAGAAAAAGAAATCACCCATAGGGGGATGGCCACATTACAATCCTTTCTCCTCCACTCTCCTCCTGAGATTTTTGGATGTGCATGCACTCGTGCCTGGTTTGATTTTCAAGCTTCCAGGTCTGGAATTCCAACCACAGTCAGCCATGTGGGAGTGTGGTGCCTTAACTACCATGCTACCTTCTGGCCCTTACCTTGATCTTGGCTTTGTGTTGGAATATTCTAGACAGTTTTTTTTTTTTTTTAATAGTTTATTTGTTCCAGGGCCGGCAGGTGGCATGATGGTTAAGTGCTGGACTCCCACATAGCCGACTGTGGTTTGAGTCCTGGACCTGGTGGCTTGCTTTCACACTTTGCCCCTCTCTCTGGTCAAATTAAATAATAATAATAATGATAATGATAAATAAAATGAAATACATAATTCTTTTAAAAAGTTTGTTTCTTTCATGAGAGTGAGAGAGAAATAAGGAAAAAGAAAGACAAGCCCCTTCAACAGGGTCTCATCTTTTCCCCTAGCTTTCCCAACCAGCCAGGATCATGGGTGCACATGGCTGGTATGTATGAGTGGACCAGGGAACTGAACCCATGATCTTTCCTTTGGATGCAGCATTGCTTGAACGGCACATTACCACTGTGTCACTGAGCTAACCCTGGAGAGCTTTTTAAACTGATGAAGCACAGGTCCCACTCCCAGAGATTGCAAATGAACTTATCTGAGGTATAGTCTGAACACTGGCAGACAGCTTAGACCTGAGTCAGGAAATAGTAATAACTGCATAGTTTGTATCCCACTTAACAACTTACACAGTGCCTTCAGGTTCTCTGGTTTGTTCTCCATACAGTCCTGCAAAGTAGATGTTGATATCTCGTTTTTCAGATGAAAAAAACTGAGGCTCAGATACATTTGGTGACACACACAGCTGGCTGGCTAGGGCCAGAGCTCTGCTCGGACCTCAAGTCTTCTACCCCAATGTCCAGAATCTTCTCCTTCCCTGCTCTACAATGCCTAGGGACAGAGGCTTGCCTGGCCTCTGATGGGCACAGTGTTGCAGACTCTGTGGGGAAGATAACACGAAACATAGACAAGGTAGATTAGGTCAACTGATAATTTCATATCAGAGAGAAAGAACTAAGAGGAGGAGAAGGAAAAGCTGAACCAGGTCCTAAGGCCTGAGGGTTGGGAGGACAGAAGACCTGGGACAAGATCCTAAGGTGGAGGAGTGTCGAGAGAAAAGTGAGGGGCTGTGATGCTGGTGAGCTGGGAATGTGCCTCCATGTTCAACCCTACCTCCTCCCGTCCTCCCAGGTGTGCGAGCTGGACATCATCTTCAACTTTGAAAAAGCTTACTTCATCCTGGATGAATTTTTGATGGGGGGCGATGTCCAGGACACCTCCAAGAAGAGTGTGCTGAAGGCTATTGAGCAGGCAGACCTGCTGCAGGAGGTACGGGCCAGGGACAGTGAGGAGGAGGAGTGGCATGGCGGAGGGTGCCCTGCCTCCACAGGACACCCTGCCAGCCGGTCACAGCTGCCTGCTGCCCACCGCCGAAGGGGCCCCCCTCCCTGCGGTGTCTGGCCCCCACCGCGCCCAGCTGTCCAGTTGACCCTCAAGCCCTGACCCCACAGCATGGGAGGTGGGGTGGCAGGTAGTCCACCTGTGCCAGTTCTCCCCTCATTCCAAGCTCTGTCCACCTCCCTGTCCACCTCGCCTTAGGCAAATGTCGCCTGTCCCATATTTCTCTTGGCATTAAGAACTGTTCAGAGAACTGAGAAGGGGCACATTTCTTCCCTGGTTTCCCCCCTCCCAATTTTTTGAATACACATATACTCAAAAGCTATAGGGATTTGGAGACTAGGGCGGAGAGTGCCTGGATGTTGGTATTCTGTTATCCAGCACCCCACCTCACCCCATTACTGCCTGCCCCCTCTCTGCCATGTCACTGCTGAGCCTTGGTGCAGGGAGATGAGTCACCGGAATCTGCAATGACAAGCAGCCAGCCTGGACTGGCTCTGGGGAGGGGGAGAGTTGGGGGGCAGGGGGTTCATCTCTGCAGCAGTGGAAGAAAGGGCAGAACTGAACTTGCCATATGGCCTGACTAGTGCAACTTCGTGCACACACACACACACACACACACACACACTCACACTCTCATACACACGTGCCCTGGCACACCCACCCACCCGTTACTGGTGCTCAGACCCTAATGACTCATCTCTGCAGTCTGGTTCACCTTCCCTCAGGGGCCTGGTGCCAACCTTTTTCTGCCTCCCCCAACTCTGGAAGAAGGCCCCAACCACCTGCATCCCCAGCACCCCCATATTTCCATTCTGGAGGACAGGTTTCCTGCTCCTAGTCCCAATTTCACTGCTTTTGCCCTCGGACACTGAGGTGCAGCCCCTTCTCACCCAGCTTCTGGCTTTGGGTTTTCTGGGTGGTGATGGGTTCCTCCTGGACTGCCCATGCCACCAGTAGCTCCGGGTAGTCCCAGGAGGTGGCAAGCTCCCTGGAAGGGCTCTCAGCAGTTCCAGGTCCAGCCTTGGGCTCACATTGGCATCTCCTCCCCACCCCTGTGTCTCTGTGCCCCCCCACTCCTTCCTCGTGATTGCTGTTGTCTTGCCCACCCTGTCTGCCACTCCTCGTGTCTCTGCGTCACCCTCTGTCTGTCTCTGCCTTAGGAGGATGAGTCGCCGCGCAGTGTGCTGGAGGAGATGGGTCTGGCATAGCCCCTGCCCACCCTGCGGGCCACGTGGAGATGGGGGAGCTGGTGGAGAGGCAGGGCATGATGGCTGCTTCTCCTGTGCCTCTCCCAGGGCCCTTTCTGGGGCGACCCTGCTGCCCCTCTTCTGCTGCCTCACCCCCTTTTGGAGTGAGCTATGGGCTCAGACCCATTAAACATTCCTTCCCTCCACCCTCTACCTCCTGTTTCCCCATTTCCCATGGAAGGTTTTAAGAGCTAGGGGGCAGGAAAATGTGACCAAGACAAGGAGGGGGTGCTATCTGGCTTTCATTCCCTGCCTTTGGAGAACCAGTGGTATCCCAGATTTCTCCCCTCCCTTACAACTGTAAATATATAAATATGTCAGGTTAAAGGGAAAAGATTTTTCAGGGCTCTTCTCGTCCCTTTGCCCCATAACCTACCTCCACCCCTCTCCCTAGCCAGCCAGGGCAGCTTCTCTGCCTGGAAAGGGGGAGTGCTTCCATGTGGTGAGAGGGAAGGCCTTTCTCTCCCGGCCCCCCCTTCCTCCTTGGCTGCAGCAGGGCCTCCGCCCAGTGCCAGGGGAGGAACAACTGAGTTAATTTTTTTCTAACCTTGCCACTGAAGGGAAGGGAGGGTTGGGGGAAGGGTGGGCTTTATTGAACCCTGGCCCTGGCCCTCCTACACTCTATGTTCTGGGTGAGGCAGGAACTCAGGGGGCAGGGAGGGGTTAGTGTCTTCCTTTACTTCCTTTCTTCTGAAATAAAAGGAAAAGCATTTCTGGACTTGGCTTGCTGTGGACTCTTCTATGAAGGGAATTTAGGCTGCTGATGGCAGTCAGGAGGCCACGGGAACATAGCCTAGTTGTCCTAGTTGTCTCTGGGGTTGCCAGACTTAGGAAGAAAAAAAAAATAGAGGACACCCCATTACATTTGAATTTTGAAAAACAAATCATTTTTACAATGTATGTCCCATGCAATGTTTGAGACACACTTGATTGTAAGAACCTGTTTATCTGAAATTCAGATTTAACTAGGTATTGGTATTTTATCTGGCCACTCTACCCCAAACAGATTTTCCTGCTCAATACCTCTCTGACTCCCTGAACTGCCTTCACCCAGGGAGGGGCAATTCTTGGGACTGTGGGTCTACTCTAAGATTTCTTTGTGGGAGATTTCATTTGCCCAGATTAGCGTTACTTGAAGAGGGGAAAAGGGAGTTCAAGGTATCTATTAGAAGAGCATTGAGCAATGGCTAACTCCAGGATTTGGCTGCCAACCCTCCCCACATTTCTAGGGCAGTGCCTGCCACAAGGAGTTCCAGAGGCAGTTGAGGGAGTCAGGTAGGGGAGGGGAACCTGCCAGCATTGCATAAGCAACCCAAGATCATGGAAAGAAGAGTCTCCTGAGTGCCCAGAGCTGTGGCACCCTATGTGTGGTGCCCTTTCTTTGTTGTTATTAACCAAAAAGTTTGTTGGGCTTATCATGGGTGACTGACTCTTACCACATTCCACTCTACTCTCTGTTAAACTTGGGGACAATGTCTTTAACTCCCTCCCCTGTCCCCCTCCAAGCTGGAAGTGGGACTTGGGTCTCTTTTCTTTTTTTTTTTTTTTGAAAGAGAAATTACGATGGCCATGCTACAATGCCTTCTCCATTCTCGCATACACACGTACAGACTTGCTTTTCAAGCTGCCGCCTGGGACTCGGGCTCAGTTAGTAATATGGGATCCAGCTGCCTTAACCTTCATGCCACCTGCTGGCCCAACTTGGGGTTTCTTATTGGATATAAGCCATATTCTACCCTCCAGTACAGTTTCAGCTGTTCCTTACACTCACCTTCCTT